TCGCACGACTTGCACACGGTCGAAATAGACCCGAACCCTAAACTCTGAAGTCTATTGAACTAATAGGGATTATAGCACCCCCTATTATAATCCCGAGTAAGGACTGTTAGTATACGGGGGAACATCCCAACCTGAACCCTAAACTCTGAAGGATATGAACCCTAAACTATCAACCCTGCAAACCCTAATTCCAAACCCTAGCAGTCTTTCAACCCTACAAACCCTATGTACCCGCTTAACCCTAAAACCCTCTAAGCTAAACCCCAAACCCTAAACCCTGAACCGTAATGGTGTCGAACCTAGAGCGTAACAGGAGGTCCGCTTTCAAGGTCGCCAGTAACTCCTACACCCTAAGCCCCCAACCGTGAACCCCTAAACCCTAAACCCTACACCCCAAACCCTACACCCCTAACCCTAACCCCTACACCCCGAAACCCTAAACCCTAAACCAAACCCTAAACCCAAACCGCAAACCCTAAACAAACCCTAAACCCTAAACCCTAAACCCTACACCCTAAAGCCTACACCCTAAACCCTACTGTAAACCCTAAACCCTAAACCCATTCCTGTACTAAAGACTATACAGCCCTGAAGCTCCTGATGCGAGGGCTTAATGCGGGAATGGGGTTTAGGGTTTAGGGTTTAGGGTTTAGGCTGTAGGGTGTAGGGTGTAGGGTTTAGGCAATTTTGGGTTCTTAGGCTTCTGAGGGTTGCTGGGGGTAGTAGGGCTTCTGGCGATTTAGTTTGAGGGGTCTTACCATGGAGTGGGGTCTGGGTAGTTCTCTACATTCGGGTTCCTTTTTTGGGTTTAAGGTTTACGGTCCCTTATGCGGGTTCGGGTTCAGGGTGCCGTATAAGAAGGATTTTAAACAAATGCAAAGAAAGCATTTCTTCGCAGCTGGGACCTCCGTGATGCCAGGCAAAGAAGGGCCCCTAACTTGGCAACTAGCCTGTAACGATGGTACGATAAGGGTACCCTTTTTTTTTGTTTGGGGGGGGGGGGGGGGGGGTGCGTGGGGGGTTTGGGGTCAGGGTTCAGGGTTTAGGGTTTCGGGTCTAGGGTTTAGGCCAGACTTTAGGGTTTAGGGCTACTTCATGAGGGAACCTTGAACCAAAAAAAGTGGCAAAAGCGTACCACTGGGCTACCAAGCTAATTTAGAGAACTACATTAGTATAAGGGGGAACATGAAAAGAGGTACCTTTTTGGGGCTTGGCTACTTTATAAGGGAGACTTGAACCAAACAAGTGTGAGAAAATAAACCCTAAACCCTAAACCCTAAACCCTAAACCCGCCACTGGGCTACAAAGCTCATCTAGAGAACTACCCATATCCACGCCGCCTCCACGCAATTGCCCAGAGGAGCATCACAATGTCAGAGAGGAAGATGGAGTACCTGCCCAGGCCCGTGGATCCCTAAACCCACCCTAAACCCTAAACCCAAAATCCCTAAACCCTAAACCCTAAACCCTAAACCTCAACCCCTAAACCCGAACCTTTCGGGTTTCATTGTTCGCCTCAAGAAGGCCTACACCCTGAAGTGCACCATGACGGCTGGGTCACAATGTCTGCAGCAGGTCCACAGTATCCCAAATCATCTCGGCTGACACCAGGGGCCTCGCGAGCTGGGGTTCAGGGTTTAGGGTTTAGGGTTTAGGGTTTGGGGTTTGGGGTTCAGGGTCTAGGGTTTAGGGTTCAGGGTTTAGAGTGAGAGTTTAGGGTTTGGGGATTAGGGAGGGGCCTCGCAAGCTGAACAGGCTCGTGAAGGGTCGTTCCACCACCCTTCCTCATGTGCGCAATCTTCACTCGTCATAAACCCTTCTGTTGACTAACTGAAAGGGCCAAACTCCAGCTCCACAACCTGTGTCCCTATATGTCCTCGACACATCGCATATGCTGCTGGGATGGACACAGGATGTCGAACATGCTTTAGCCCGTTTGCCCCCTCGCCTGAAACCGCCCGCCAAACCCGGGGAGAAAGAAAAACTTCTTCTACCAAACCCAAAACCTCCTAAACCCTGTGCCCCAAACCCTGTACCCTAAACTACCCCAGACTACCCTGTACCCTAAAGTACCCTACACTACCCAAGGCTCCCCTAAGCCCCACTGCTCCTAGGGTCCCACTACCCAAGCAAACACCCTAAACCCCCAAACCCCAAAACCCCAAACCCCCAAATCCCCAAAACCCCCAAACCCCCAAATCCCCAAAACCCCCAAACCCCAAAACCCCAAAACCCAAAGCCCCAAAACCCAAAGCCCCAAAACCTAAAACCCAAAAACCCTAAAGATGTTCACCCTTATACTAACAGTCCTTAGTAGGGATTCTGATAGGGGGGGGGGGGGGTGTACTATAATCCCACCATTCTATAAGGGGGAACATCCCTAAACCCTAAACCCTAAAACCCAGCAACGGGCCTTTTCTTCCAGCGCTGAGCTGGCGCCGCTTGGGCGCTGCCTTCCTTGGCGTCCTTGCGGGCTACTTTGGGAGGCCAATACAAGGGTTTTGGGTTTAGGGTTTAGGGTTTAAGGGTATGCTAACCCTAAACCCCAAACCCTGTAAACCCTCAACCCTAAGCCCTAAGCCCTGAATCGGTGAAGGCGAGGCAAAACCCGCATGAGGCTAGCCCTGAACGCTTATTAAACCTTAAACCCTAAACCCTAAACCCTAGACCCTAGACCCTAAGCCCTGAGCCCTAAGCCCTAAGCCCTAAGCCCTAAGCCCTAAGCCCTAAGCCCTAAGCCCTAAGCCCTAAGCCCTAAGCCCTAAGCCCTAAACCCTAAACCCTAAACCCTAAACCCTAAACCCTAAACCCTAAACCCTAAACCCAAGCAAAGTCCTGGGAGGCCGGAGATTCATCAGACTGGGGTTGGACAAAGGCCGCCTGAGCTGTCCTCGAAAAGGGTGGTTTAGGGTTTAGGGTTTAGGGTTTAGGGTGTGGGTTTGGGGTTTAGGGTTTGGGGTTTAGGGTTTGGGGTTTAGGGTTTGGGGTTTAGGTTTTGGGGTTTAGGGTTTGGGGTTTAGGGTTTGGGGTTTAGGTTTTGGGGTTTAGGGTTTGGGGTTTAGGGTTTGGGGTTTGAAGTTTGGGGTTTAGGGTTTGGGGTTTAGGGTTTGGGGTTTGGGGTTTGGGGTTTAGGGTTTGGGGTTTAGGGTTTGGGGTTTAGGGTTTGGGGTTTAGGGATCAGGGTTTGGGGTTTTGGGTTTGGGGTTTTGGGTTTTGGGGTTCGGGGTTTAGGGTTTGGGGTTTAGGGTTTGGGGTTTAGTGTTTGGGGTTCAGGGTGGAGGGTTCGGGGGTTGAAGGTTTGCGGCTTAGAGGTTTCAACGTTCTGCCCGTTTGATTCAGGAAGATACCTTCAATCATAATAGGGACCCTAATAGGATTTAACCCTTAACCCCAAACCCCCAAACCCCAAACCCTAAACCCTTTATTCCCTAATTCAAACCCTAACAGAAAGACAGTATAGGGTTTAGGGTTTAGGGTTGAATTTTAGGGTTTAGGGCTTAGGGCTTAGGGCTTCGGGTTTAGGGTTTAGGGTTTCGGCTTCAGGCTTCGGGTTCAGGGTTGAGGGTTTAGGAGAAGTACCCTGGCCCTTACATCAAGAAGAAAACTGATATGTAGACACATGTATGCATGCACACAAACGACGCTTGCCCTACTTCTCTCAACCCCAAAAAACAGAATCCCAAATCTGACTTTATTTACCCCTACTTCTTTCAGCCCAAAAAACAGAATCCCAAATCTGACTTTACTTACCCCTGCTTCTTCTTTCAACCCAAAAAACAAAATCACTTGATATACCCCTACTAAACCCTAAACCCTCAACCCTCAACCCTCCCAAAAAACAGAATCCCAAATCTGACGTTATTTACCTCGTCCAAGGGTCCACTAGGTTGGCCCTTGAAACCCTCTGCACTAGGTTGGCCCTTGAAACCCTCTGAAAGATACTCCAAAAATAAGATCCTCCTAACCCACATAAGGAGAAACACCCTAAACCCTAAACCCTAAACCCTAAATTCCCAGTTCAAGTGTCAGCAGCAGCAGGAAAGGAGCCGCCAGCGCCCAGGGCGGGAACCGCCAGCGGCGCCGCTTTCGGCCCTCTCGATTGGGCATCGGGGTCCCTGCATCCGAAAGAGCCTGACACCTCTTATGGTTCTTGCTTTGGGGTCTAAACCCTAATTAGGGTTTCAGGGTTAAGGGTTGAGGGTTTAGGGTTTCAGTTTTGGAGCCTAGAGCTTGGATTTGGGTTTCGGCGTTTCGGGTTTGGGGCTGAAGTTCCTGTACCGAGGCCGTGTAAATCCATGGCCACTTCTTTCAAGCTGCCTGTGAGTTTTGCAGACTGTGAGTTTTGCAGGCTGTTCGGCTGACGAGTTGGCTGGTTATTGCTGATGCGCAGGGTTTACCCGGACCCCCTGAGGCAAGTAGGGGCTTCGGGCTCAGTAAATGAGCTGTCTGGGCTCTCTTCCTTGCTGATGCTGACATGCTTCCCTCGTTGCTTCCCAACCCATGCTTCGTGTATACCAAACTACCAAAAAAAGTACCCTAAACCCTAAACCCTAAACCCTAAACCCTAAACCCTAAACCCTAAACCCTAAACCCTAAACCCTGTACCGCTTCAACAAAAAGGCTGCGAGCCAGCACGTATCCAACGCAGCACTTCTCTGAGTCGTTGGTCGCGTGTTCGAAGGCCCTAGCCAAGTGTTAGGGTTTAGGGTTTAGGGTTTAGGGTTTAGGGTTTAGGGTTTAGGGTTTAGGGTTTAGGGTTTAGGGTTTAGGGTTTAGGGTTGGGGATGTAGGACAATCGTCTAGACTCTTATAGTGTCGCAGCGCGGCCATGCTGTCTGCAAAATCGTGGCCCTAAATCTCGCGGCCCCAAATGCCCAAACACTGGCTGGCGGCATAAGGACCTACGACGAAGGTACCCTCAACCCTAAACTCTTATCCGAAATGTTGGTTGAAGGTAGCTGGGGGGGGTCTACGTGAACCCTGGCGCTTGGTGCCAAGGCCATGGGCGCAAGTGCAGCACGCCCTCGGCGAGGACCTGTACAGCCTGACATGGGGGGCGGAGGGGGGGGGGGGGAATACCACAAAGTGCTTCAGTTCATTGCTTCTCCGTCTTCGGGGCATGAGGAAGTCCTCCGGCCGCCCTACTTAGAGAGGTTCATGGGTAGAGAAAAGATGAGTTTGAAGTATGGCAACTATACTTATTACCCTATTTAGGGTTCTTATAACCCTACTGGCAACTGCTCATGAACCCCCAAGTCACTTCGAGCCCTAAACCCTAAGCACCAAACTCCTGGTTGGCCTGTGGGCCACCCCGGGTCTACGCAAGGCAGTTCCCCTGTGGTTGACACTTGCCCCCTTGATCAACTTTTGCCTGAACAACTGCACGGAAAAATAAACTGAGTTCGCGCTTCATGTGTGTATATATATATATATATTCACTCACTGACGGCATTCGGACAAACGAAGAAATACATACATATAGACATACACACATCTCTCTCTCCCGAGGCCAACACGAAGGTCTCCTCATCAGCACGGCAACAAGTCCTTTGTGGGCGCGGGGCATGGGGGGTGATGATATTCCTTACCCCAAGAGCCCAATTACCCCTTAATCAAGGAATATGCCTTAAATCAAAAAATTTGGGGTCCGAGTACGATTTAAGAAATATTCCTTGGTACTTCTGCAGCTGGCGCTTCGGGTCGAGGCACGGCAGCACAACACTTATAGGGTTTAGGGTTTAGGGTTTAGAGTTTAGGGTTTAGGGTTTAGGGTTTAGATCGCGGAAGCAAGGATGGGAAGATGACAAGGATCCCCACGCCGCTGCACCGAATCAACGACAGGAAGGTGAGCTGAAGTCTCTAAGGCTCATGGCCCTAAACCCTAAACCCTAAACCCTAAACTCTAAAACCCAAACCCCAAACCCCAAACCCCAAGCCCTATACCCTAAACCCTAAACCCTAGCAGGTCTAGGGTCTCGGAATCAGCGTTTAGGGTTTAGGGTTTAGGGTTGTGGGGACCCCGAAAATGGACCCCCCAATAGTAGGATCTCCCCAAAATGGTACCCCTGATTTCGGAAATCCCCATGTCACCCTGACTACAACGAAGCGTTTAGGGTTGAGGATTCAATTATAGCGACTGGCATCCAAGTATGATTGTAAAGGTATCTTCCTTCATGAAGGGGTACATGGGCTACTTGGTTGTGCTTAAAACCCTCTGAAAATAATTTATGAACAGGCTCCCTCATCAGGAAAGAAGAGAAATTAACCCTAAACCCTAAACCCAAGGCCCCGGCGCTTTGACGCACACGCTGAGCTCGCAATGGAACCTCGGCCCAGCATTGTCAAAAGGGATTGGGGTTTAGGGCTTGGGGTTTGGGGTTTAGGGTTTGGGGTTTAGGGTTTGGGGCTTGGGGTTTAGGGTTTGGGCTTCGGGGTTTCTGATTTAGGGCCTAGGGGGTTTTTAGGGTTAGAGAGTAGAAAGCATGGTCTTAGGACCGGACTTTGAGGGATTTTGGGGAGGTTAAAGGTGTACTTGGAGGCTTTCGGGGGTTTTAAAGGGATTTTGGGGGAGAATGCTTTTGTCATTTGGGGGTGGGGGGGGGTTAAGGTTCAGGATACTTGGCACCCCAGAAACCATATTTTAATAGGGATACACCGTTTTTTTGGGGGTTTGGTCACTTTGTAGGGGAACCTTGAGCCAAAAAAAGTGTAAAGGGTTCTGAGGCTACCAAAGATATAAGGGTTCGTGGAGCGGGGGGCCGGGCCTCGGGTTTCCGGGCAGCACTTGTTCAACAGAGGGGTCGGAATAAGTACTAATAGTATTCCCGTGTGGTCCCTATATACTTACACTATCATACCCCCCCCAAAAAAAAAAAAAACTATTCTAGTTGAGGCCACTATTATAGGGTCCGTTGGGGCGCCTAGCATCCCCTAAACCTCCAACCCTAACTCGCCTAACCCTGCAAGGTATGTGGAGTGCTGCAGTCTTCGGGGGCTTAGGGTTTGGGGTTCAGGTTTAGGGTTTAGGGCTTAGGGTTTAGGGTTCAGGGTTTAGGGTTTAGGCTTTAGGGTCTAGGGTTTAGGGTTTAGGGGTTAGGGTTTAGGGTTTAAGGTTAGGGTTTCGGGTTTGTAGTTTGGGGTTGAAGGCGGAGGCAGACATCCGTTTGGCTTCTGGACGCGAAATCTTCAAACCAGTCTGGTGCTAAGTAGGTTTTTTTGGTTTCTTGGTGTGAAAGGTCTACCCTAAAGCGAGGAGTTACGATCCCTAAACCCTAAGCCCGAAACCCTAAACCCTAAACCCTGAACCCTAAACCCTAAACTCTACTCCGGTGGTCAGGGAGTCGGGGGTCTGGGCCTACGCTGTCGGCCTCTTTTTGCTGCGCTAACCTGGGTCCATGCGTGACCTTCGCTTCCGGAATAAGCTCTGCGCATCCTGGGCGCATGAGGAAGCTAGGGTTTAGGGTTTAGGGTTTAGGGCTTAGGGCTTAGGGCTTAGGGTTTAGGGTTTAGGGTCTGGGGTTTAGGGTTTAGGCTGCGGGAGGGCTTTAGTCAGACCTGCTCCAGGAGAGACGCCTTCAACTTTTGATCAGAGATGCTGTTGCCAAGCTACAGCAAACCTGGTTTAGGGTTTAGGGTTTAGGCTTTAGGGTACTCATACACTTGCAGCTTACTTTACGTAACCATCGACGAACCTCTGCGCAGCCTCCTGAAACCTTAAACCTGAACCCTACATTCTCTTGCAGCTGGGACTCAGTGATAATTCTAAACCCTAAACCCTAAACCCTAAACCCTAAACCCTAAACCCTAAACCCTAAATCGTAAACCCTGAACCCTAAACCCTCATCCCGATACAAGCCTTCCGGGACCAGCCGAGCCACCGCCTGTCGTTGACGACGCTTCGTAGCCTGAGATACGTACAACGCAGACCCAAAAGCCTCTCTCACCTATACATATATATATATATATAGATATGTATATGTTCTTTTTATAATGTTCTTGCATGATTTACAATTTAATTCACTTCCGGTCATTAACTCGAATGCAAATCCGAAAAATCGGCACCAACCCTTCTGCAACTCCGAAAAATCGGCGGCAACCTAATGCAATTCCGAACCGCCCTAGGGTTTGGGGCATAGGGCTTCGAGGACCTAGGGTTTGGGGCATAGGGTTTAGGGCCCTAGGTTTGGGGCATAGGGTTTAAGGCCCCCTTACGGGTATAGACCCTGAATTAGATGAACTTATAATGTCGTCATGTTGTGGGATTCTTTGGGCGGGAGGGTCTCCTTACAGGGCTTACAAAGGAATTAGGGTTTAGGGTTTAGGGTACCTAACTCCCTCAACCCCAAACCCTAAATCGAGACAATCGGTATCCAGGCAATAGAGTTGGTGTTCACAGCCCGGGGTGGGGCGGGCTGTACGTCAAAACTACATTACATAAACAGGGTTTAGGGTTTAGGGTTTAGGGTTTTGGGTTCAGGGTTCAGGGTTTTATAGTGTTTTTTATTTTCATATTATTCAACGATTTTGTTTTTCCATTATTTGAATAATTCCATGATATATTGTTATACTATTCTGATGTAGTACCATGAAAGTGTTCTATTCTGTGTTCACATTGTTCTACTATGCTTCAAGCAAATTTAGTACATTGTTGCGTTCTTCTACTTTCATGTCAGTATATCAGCATACTCGTATTATGGTCACAGCAGATCATATCCATGGACTACACCTATATATTGTGTGTACACATATATATATATATACATATATATATACACACACTATTGGCATTCGTATATGTTCGATTAATATATTGTGCATTTCAGATTGCTACACAAAACCATTTCATAGGGTTTAGGGTTTAGGGGTTCGGAGTTAGCCCTCATGGGCTCACAGACGCAAACAAGAAGTCGAAGACTTCAGGGAATGTCTGCCGCCTCAAGCTTTCTACAGCAAGTCGCAGGTACCTAAACCCTAAACCCTGAACCCTAAACCCTAAACCCTAAACCCTAAACCCTAAAGTGGTCTACCCGGACCCTAAATCCCAAACCTGAATTTCTGCCGGTCCGAGTCTGTCGAAAGAAGCTAGCAAAAACAGGGACCAAACTCATCCCGGAAGCCTGGAATCTCAGTGGCTGGACAGCATGTCTGTGCATTTCACAAAGTAGGGGTACCCCGTTTATGCCCAAAATAGAATAGAATCCCCTTTGAAGGGACCCCGAAAAGGGTACCCCCTATTTTTCCTATTTTCGGAAACCCCCAATTTCTGGGTGACAAGGCCCCACAACTGGGGTGGGGGAGACGAGCTCTCCTGCAGGCCGGGGGGCATCCGATTTCTCCTCCACATTCCGGTTCCTTAGTTAGGGATTAGGGTTAGGGTTTAGGGTTGAGGAAGTAAACCCCAAACCCCTACACCCTTAAAACCCTAGGGGTTGTGTATAGAATCTCCAGATCCGCTTCTGGGCCTTTTGGAGGGGGGAGACAGGGTCCCTCATCATATGGGGTTTAGGGAGTCTAGGGTTGCTTGGGCGCTAAAGCGACTTTCTGGAAACCCCTTTGCGGCCCAAGAATATTTCATTGACCCCTAGAGCTTCTAAGAGCCAGTAGGTTAAGCGATTCAGCAATGGCAGTAGTTTACTTCCCCCCCCCCCCCCCCACCCAAGCCTTTGCAGGCTCAGAATTCAAAGTGGCATACTCTTGACACCGCCTAAGGCTGGCGGACCCTTTCTGGTCTCTCCCCCCCCCTCAAACAAAAAAAAACACCGAAGAAAAGTGCCTACTCTGGGTCCTAGATTTGGGATCACCTCGAAGTTGCACGACACCAAAGCCTGAAGCAAGGTTACCTATTGTCATCCATCTTATTTTGTCTTCCCTCGAGGTCAACCCTCAACGCTCAACCCTAAACCCTAAATCCTAAACCCTGAACTCTGAACCCAAAACCCAAAAGGCTTTTCGACGCTTTGGCTTTTAAGGCTTGCTTGATGTTGCTGTGGGGAGTCGAAGCCTTTGTTTGACGATTTTGGGGATACTGCTAAACCCTAAACCCTAAACCCTAAACCCTGAACCCTAAACCCGAAACCCTGAACCCTAAACCCTAAACCCTAAACGAAAAGGGGCTAAGGGGCTTCTGAGGTCAAGCGCAAAGCGGCTGGCGGGCGAAGGCGCCGATGTCCACCGCTCTGCCGCGCTTCTCGAGACCTACAAAGGACTTCGACGTGTCGACTCTGAAGTCTCTAAAGCCTTACGGTTTAGGGTTTAGGGTTTAGGGTTTAGGGTTTAGGGTTTAGGGTTTAGGGTTTAGGGGTTAGCGGTCTAGGGTTTAGGTTTCAGGGTTTAGGGTTTAGGGTTTGGGGTTTAGAGCGCCCGATATGCGAAACTCCCTGCTTGGCATTGGGTAGCTGTGTAAGGAGCCGAGGGCCTCCGAAAATGGGAAAAGTGCCTAAACCCTAAACCCTAAACCCTAAACCCTAAACCCTAAACCCTAAACCCTAAACCCTAAACCCTGAACCCTATATAAACCCTAAACCCTAAACCCTAAACCCTACACCCTAAACCCTAAACCCTAAACCCGCAGGGTTCAGGGTTCAGGGTTCAAGGTTTTGGGATCCTTAGGGCTTAAGCAGGTACCACATACGCACATAGAGGCCCTAAACCCTAAAAAGGGTTCAAGGTCTAGGATTTAGGGTTTAGGGTTTAGGGTCTAGGATTGAGGGTTTAGTTGGGACTAGGGTTTAGGTGGTTTAGGACTTCGGGCTTCGGGGTCGGCATTGGTGGGGGTTTCTGATGGCGAGCAGCCGTACTCGGCGCACGCCGAGGACAAGTTCTGGCCACCGAGACGCTCCTTCGCACACAAGGGCTCAGGGTTTAGGGGTTTTGGGTTGAGGAGGTCTTGGGGTTAGGAGGTCCTGGGTTTAGGGGTTAGGGGTTTCGGAGTTCGGAGTTCAGGGTTTTGGGCGTTTAAGGTTGAGGGACTTAAGGTGTAGTGAGTGGCGGTGGGTAGGGTTGAGGGCTCTGGGATATAGGGTTTCGGGTTTAGGGTTTAGGGTTACGGTTTTTTTTTTTTCACTCGGGGTTACGGGTTTAGGGTTTAGGGTTTAGGGATTCGGGTTTAGGGCTTGCGGTTCAATCGCCAAGCGTTGGGAGCGATTGGGCTTGGGAAGGTGTGGGGTTCGAGGTTTGAAGGGTTACACACACCCCTCCTCTCCCCCCACACCCGCCCCCGGCTGGGTTTAGGGTTTAGGGCTGGGGTTTAGGGTTTAGGGTTTAGGGTTTCGGGTTTCGGGTTTAGGGTGTAGGGTGTAGGGTTTAGGGTTTAGGGCTTAAGGTTTAGGGTTTCGGGTTTTGGGTTCTCCGAACACACCTACATCAAGATATATCCCGCGGACTGCACGCATGTCATGGCAAACCGAAGACCATCTCTTTACAGCCTAGTTAAAGCCATACCTTGACGAACTCTACACCCTGGTCTCTAGAAACTCTAGAATTCTGCAGCCTGCAAATTCTGAAACCGCCCCTAAACCCTAAACCCTAAACCCTAAACCCCTAAACCCTAAACCCTAAACCCCTAACCCTAAACCCCTAAACCCCTAAACCCCTAAACCCTAAACCCTAAACCCTAAAACCCCAAAGCCCCGCGTTCCTCCAACTGCCGCTGCGCCAGGCCCTGCGGCGCGATACGCGCAGCAAGCATCGCGCTCAGGGTCTCCTTTTTGACGAAGCAGGCTGCTTGAAAAGGGTATATCGGAACCCTACACTCTCAACCCCGAAACCCTAAACCCTAAACCCTAAACCCTAAACCCTAAACCCTAAACCCTAAACCCTAAACCCTAAACCCTAAACCCTAAACCCTAAACCTGCTTGAAAAGGCTTTGGGCTTTAGGCGTTTGGGTGTGTGTAGCGAGGGCTCTCAGGGTTTAAGTTTAACTAGAGCTATTAGAGGGTAATTGGGATACTAGGTTTACCAGGATGGGCGATGATTCAAGGGAGGCAAATTTACTTTGGACCCCTATGGATGTACTCCGAAGAGGTTCCCTTGATATACTCCTAATATGGCCCTTCTATTTATTTATATATATATATATATATATTCCCTTAGAGGATCTTTAAAACAGGGTCCCCAAACCCAAGGGTACAACCTCAGGGGTCCAAGGTAACACCCCATAAGTTTTACGGTTGATTATTGAGACTAAAAAAAACTAAGGATTTCCTTTTTGGTTTAAGGAGGCAAAAGCGGCAACCTAAGCCCTAACAAAAGGGAATAAGGGCCTGCTCTGGGTCCGAGTTATGGGGATTCTAAGGCCTACACGCCATGGGTTCCCCCTACTACCCCCCTCAAACTGCCCCTTTGGGTTCAGAGGGGGTTTAGGGTTTAGGGTTTAGGGTTTAGGGTTTAGGGTTTAGGGTTTAGGGTTTAGGGAATTTGGCTTAATCCAAATAGCCTTAATTATGGGGAATCTCGGGGGGTAGTATAGAGGGGGGTAGTAGGGGAACTCATGATCAGAAGAAGCCTTCCAAGTGGGGCTTATCTAGGGGGTCTCCGAAAAAAAGGGGTACCTTATTGGGGTCGTCCTACTATGTGGGGGTCTTCTTAACTTCGGAATCCCAAATTTGGGAAACCCCATATTTCGGAAAACCCCACTTGGGTTTACTTGGGGTTCACTGGGATGCTGGGGTTTAGGGAGCTTCGTCGACTTGCTCGGTTTTAAGGTTTAGGGACTATAGTGTTTAGGGTTTAGGGCTCAACCCTAAAACCCTAAACCCAAAACCCTAAACCTAAACCCAAATAAACCCTAAACCTAAACCCAAATAAACCCTAAACCCTTTTTTTGAACCGCCCTCAGCCATAAGCCCTGAACCCTAAACCCTAAACCCTAAACCCTAAACCCTAAACCCTAAACCCTAAACCCTAAACCCTAAACCCTAAACCCTAAACCCTAAACCCTAAACCCTAAACCGACCGTCAACTCGAAGAGCTTGGGGCAAGCCTAGTTAGGCCTCGCTAGGTTTAGGGTTTAGGGTTTAGGGTTTGGGGTTTAGGGTTTAGGGTTTAGGGTTTAGGGTTTAGGGTTTAGGGTTTAGGGTTTAGGGTTTAGGGTTTAGGGTTTAGGGTGATTCGAGCCCGGCTTCTCAAAGGCTCTGTAAAGCTGCGGGGCTCCTAAGCCCCCAGCTTTCTACAGCCTGCACCCCAAGCCCTAGCCCTAAACCCTAAACCCCAAAACCCTACACCCTAAACCCTAGCCCTAAACCCTAAACCCTAAATCCTGAACCCTACACCCTGCACCCTACAACAGTGTCCTTGACGGTTGCATCGTTCCGGTGCTTGCAGACGGCTTCAATCACCGGGGCCCAGGTCCTGGGCTTAGGGTTTAGGGTTTAGGGTCTAGGGTTTAGATGGGTTGTAGGGTTCAGGGATTAGGGTTCACAAGTTTTGCAAAGCTTTTTGGGCAACCCTGAACTAGGTCTCGGTGTATGAATGCACGCGCCCATGCGTTTTTAGGTTGACGTAGGCGAAACCCAAACGCAAGCGCGTTTGGAAGAAATCCACAGGGAAGGTGCCCGAAACACAAAGGCTGGATTAAACTTGGGGGCCAATAGCATATTGGCCTATTTGTAACACTCGTTTTTTCAGGAGGACCCTGAGCAAAACTGCGGGGAAAATGTGTAAAAGATAGTCCTTGTTGAACCCAGGCTCTGAGCATCAGCTAGTCCTAAACCCTAAACCCTGTGATCTTAACATCCTCAGAAAAGTGTTTTTGCCCGCTAGGGGAAGTAGCCGATGAGGTTCAGGGCTCAGGCGAGTACGGTCTCGGGTAAAGGGTTCAGGGTTTAAACCTAAACCCTAAACCCTAAACCCTAAACCCTAAACCCTCGCAATCAGACCTGGAAGTCCAGGATGCGCTGGTTATTCGCACGCACCGGTCACATTGACCGAACATGTCGAAGAACGTGTGGGCATTTGTTTAGGGTTTAGGGTTAAGGGTTTAGGGTTAGAAGTGGGTACAGTTATTATTGGGTTAGAAGTACCATGAACTACCACTGCCTGAAGTGGAATGAAGGGGCTACGAATCCTTGATGACTCCGTTTTGGGGAATACTTAAGGGCTCAGGATTTCGGTGCGCTGTCGCCACACGGCGACAGACACTTTGCCTGCACCTGATGCCGCTTCCTTCCGCAGTAAAAACCACTTTGCCCTCCCTTTTGATTTTTGGGGACGGGTCAGAAGAAAAGTTTTACCTGCTACCAAAAATCCCGAAGCCCCTTTTTGAACCCAGACTCTGTACGACAGCTGGCACGATGACAACCCTCAACCTGCCTCAACTCTCAACCCAAAACCCTCAACCTAACCCTAAACCCTGAAGCCCTGAACCCTATAAGCTCGAAACCTGCAAACCCTACACCCCCGAAGACAGCAGCCCCTACGGGCTAAGCGTTTTAGGTTTCGGGGATGGTAAGCCCCAAAGCCCTCCCCACTTCAGTGAAGTCACATGATATTTTGCTCGATGCGTTGGTCTTCCATGTCTCCTCAGTAGGGGGCTTAGGGTTTAAGGTTTAGGGTTTAGGGTTTAGGGCTTAGGGTAGGGTTTAGGGCTTAGGGTTTAGGGTTTAAGGTTTAGGGTTTAGGGTAATAGTAAACCCATGAACCCTGAGTAGGCCAACAAACACATAATGAAAACCCTATGACCCAAGGTCACAAACGGTGCGGAGGGGGTTTGGGAAGGAACGTGAACCCTAAACTCTAAACCCTAAACCCTAAACCCTAAACCCTAAACACTAAACCCTAAACCCTAACCCTAAACCAAACAGACAACACCCAACAAACCCTTCCCCGACCCAAGGGTTGGCCCTAGATGGTGGACCCGAAGCTCAAGGCCTTGGGTTTAGTTGTTTAGGGTTCAAGGTTTAGGGTTTCGGGCTAGGGTTTAGGGTTTCGGGTTGAGGCTTTAGGGCTACGGTGTAGGGTTTAGGCTTTAGGGTTTAGGGCTAGAGGGGTTTAAGGGTTGAGCCCTTCGACCTCTATGGCGCAGGCCGAGCACAGCCTTTAATGCCCTGCCTGTGCCAGGCCAGGTTGCATGTGAGCAGTGGTCTGGAGGGTTTAGGGTTTAGGGTTTAGGGTTTGGGGTTTGGGGTTTAGGGTTTAGGGTTTAGGGTTTAGGGCCCTGCCCCCCATCGGCCCGTTTCTCAGGCTGATCGGGGAAGAAGGATCAAACCTGTTTAAAGGAAAACTGCGGTCCACCCCAAAACGGCGTGGGTTTGGGCGGCCGGGTCCCACGATGCAGGGTGGGATGCCGCCCGCCCCTACCACGAAGGACTCGACCTGGCCTGTTTTCAAAACTCCCAACGCTTTTCGATCATCGACGGCAAGCTCTAAACCCTCAACCGCAAAGCCGAAAACCCCAACCCTAAACCTGAACCCAAAACGCAAAACCCCAAACCCAAAACCCAACACCCCATGCCCTAAACCCTAAAGACTAAAACACTAAACCCTAAACCCTAAACCCTAAACCCTAAACCCCAAACCCTAAACCCTAAACCCTAAACCCTAAACCTGAACCCATCAGAGCCGGTGAGGAGATTTACGGGCTCAAAGGCCCTACAGGCCCAGTGACTGAGGAAGGTCCAGGCCCGGTCCAGTTCCTGCGCCTGGGTTTAGGGTTTAGGGCTTGGGGTTTAGGGTTTAGGGTTTAGGGTTTAGGGTTTAGGGTTTAAGGTTTAGGGTTTAGGGTTTAGGGTTTAGGGTAACCCTACAGGGCACCTATCGCCGCAGATCCCCACTAACCCTCTGCCTCTCCATGCGAGCATAAACCCTAAACCCTACAACCTAAACCAAAAACCCTTTCGATTGGGCTCTTGTATGCCTTTTGCTGTTGATGCCCTAAACCCTAAACCCTAAACCCTAAACCCTAAACCGATGGCAGGTCGGGAAAAGCTGCTTCAGGCTCTGCGTGCCGTCATAGCATACTTGCATGCCCGACATGGTCGCTCTGCGGGGTGGCAAAGAAAAAAGTTAAACCCTTAACCCGAAACCCCAAGAATCTGCAAGTTGAAAGAGGATGGTTAAACCTTGTAAGCCCCAAACTTCAATCCCCCCCCCCCCCCCCCCCCTCTAAGGGCTAAGCCTTTGAAGCCTTTTGGGTCTTAGGGTCTTAGGGTCTTCGGGTCTAATTAATGGTCTTAGGGTCTTATGGTCTTAGGGTCTTAGGGTCTTAGGGCCTTAGGGTCTTAGGGTCTTTGGGTTTTCATGCGGTCTGGTGGCCCGGCCGCACGCCTTGACAGCGCAGCTGTAGGTAACGGTGTTGGGATGGATCCGCTCCTGCGATCGGAGTCGTAGTAAGCCCTCAACCCTGAAGCCTAAACCCTAAACCCTAAACCCTAAACCCTAAACCCAACAGAGATCCTCCTCAGACTGGGTTGCTGGCTCTTGAGGTAGGGGAAAGCCATATGGGGGTTTCCGAAATAAGGGACCCCTAATTTACACCCCCCACACTCTTATTTAAGGACCCCAATAGGGTACCCCCCTAATTTCGGAATGCATGAGATTATCGAACGACCCGGTAAACTTCCAAACCTCGTCCCTGCTAGGTCTGGAAGCTGTTCTTGGCATTCTTATGGGTATCAGAAGCTAGAACCCTAAACCCTAAACTCTAAACCCGGCGTGAGAGTTCAGATGAAGCCCTGAGCAAAACAATAGAGCCCGACCCTGTCTGACTAGAGTTCAGGGTTTCGGGTCACCATGACGGTAGTTTACTAACGACCCCCCGTGAAATATCGTAAGCACCCATATACAGATGCCTAAGGCGAACTACTGTTTCAGGAATATCTTGTTCCTCAGGTAGAGCACAACCAAACCCTAAACCCTAAACCCTAAACCCTAAACCCTAAACCCTAAACCCTAAACCCTACACCCTAAACCCTTGGGTTTATAGTCTTAAACCCAAAGCCCTGAACCTCGGGCTCGGGCTACTCCGAGAGCCCCACATAGCCCAGTAGGGTTTAGGGTTTAGGGTTTAGGGTGTAGGGTTTAGGGTTTAGGGGGGAACGAGTTGCCCCGGCGCATGACCAACACCTCCCTTTCGTAATCTACTCGCTTCCCGAAACGACGGCTCCGTGTGAGCCTTCTTAGTTTCAGGGATTAGGGTTGATTCCTGGTTCTGAAGAATTTTGACGACGGTTGCATTGAAAGGTATACCCCGTGACCGAGCGACTCTCAATTCCAAGCACATGTCCTTGTTCATCTGTAGGACATGCATTTAGGAACTTGGCAACTACACCGAGAATTAAGGCATAGACTGGCTACTCTATGTACCCTGTCAGCACTGTTGCCCAAACCCTTTTTGCAACTGGCTTCTGTCTATCCGTCAAAAAGTGTCCCACCGTTCTTCGAACAAGGCAAGACACAGAACTCACCGGCAACCCCTTTAAATCCCTAAACCCTTAAAGCCTTCATTGGCAACCCTCAATCCCTAAACCCTTTAATTGAACCCAAACCCAGACTCTTAAAGCCTTAACTGGCAACCCCAAATCCGCAAACCCTTTAATTGAACCCAAACCCAGACTCTTAAAGCCTTAACTGGCAACCCCAAATCCGCAAACCCTTTAATTGAACCCAAACCCAGACTCTTAAAACCTTCACTGGCAACCCTAACTCCCTAAACCCTAAACCTGTAAGTGAACCCAGACTCTAAAACCCTGCACCGCTTTCCTCACGTCTTCCCCAACTCTCGGATCAGAATAAGGGTCCCGTTCTAAAACTACCCTAAACCCTAAACCCTATACCCTAAACCCTAATCCCTGAAACCTAAACCCTAAGCCCCCTAAACCCTAAACCCTAACCCTGGTTTAAGGGGTTTCCATTCCCTTCAAAATTCAGCCGAGAAAAATTGGAGCGGCACGAAGAAGATCAGCATGGCTCTTGCTCAAAGACGACACACACAAATCGCGAAGTGTGCGAAGCTTGACGGGGTTCAGGGTTTAGGGTTTAGGGTTTAGGGTTTAGGGTTTAGGGTTTAGGATTTCTATTTTCCTGGTTTTTTTCTGAGTCATAAGGTAATGGGCAGTTGAAGGTAGAGTTCTGATGGCATTGGGCATACAATAAAAGCATACTGAGGACAAGGGTGCCCCAATATAGTCTCACGTGTACTCCCTGAACACGAAAACCCTAAACCCCATAAAACAAGTCCACCCTAAGCCCTAAACCCTAAACCCTAAACCCAAATCCCAAACCCTGAGCCCTAAGCCCTAAACCGTTTTCTTTGCATCCGGACTCTGCACTAGATTCGACTCTTTTGTAAGCCTCCTTGTAATGTCTCATAATATATTGAACTTGCTTTAACACTGAATCTGTGTTAACTTGTGGAAATGGGAGCCACGGGGGCCATGAGTAGATGACCCTGCCTTAAGAGCCCAAAACTGTTTTTCTAGGTTACCGAAGAATCCTATAAGGGGCTTTGTAGTAATCACCTACAAAACAGGTAGGGTTCTTAAGGTAAAGCCTAAATCCTAACACCCCTAAACTCAAAATAAACCCTCAACCCTCTAAACCCTACACCCTAAACTCTAAACCCCAAACCCTAAACCCTACACCCTAAAACCTAAACCCTGCAAACCCTTACCCCTGAAAACCCGTAAAACAAACCCAATGTATGGGGTCTTGGCCTCTCGGGAGCCTCTTCGCTTTGCGCGGGCTCCGTTTCCAAGCTCAGCGGGTCTCGACTCTGGCACGAGTGCCCAGGGGTTAGGGTTTAAGGTTTGGGGTTGAGGGGTTAGGGTTTAAGGTTTTGGGGTTTAAGGTTTAAGGTTTAGGGTTTCGACTTGAGGGTTGTGTAGGGTTCGGGTTTCGGGTGTCTTCGCGACAGGCAAGACCGCCTTCCTGTGCTGCTGGCACTCGTGCCCAGGGTGTAGGGTTTGGGGTTTGGGGTTTGGGGTTTGGGGTTTGGGGTTTGGGGTGTGGGGTTTGGGGTTTGGGGTTTCGGGTAGTCGCCCCCCCCCAGTCCGAAGAACGGCAAGGGCATGGAGCACAAAGCCCCAGTGGATAAGGGCATGGTTCAGGTGCAGCATCTACTACAAATAAGTCAGAACTTCATGCAAACCTGAGCCTCAGACTATGTAGCATGCGATAAACCCTCAACCCTAAACCCTAAACGCTAAACCCTTAACCCTAAACCCCAAACCCCAAACCCTAAACCCTTCCCGGCAGCTATTTAGGGTTGAGGTTTAGGGTTTAGGATTTAGGGTTTAGGGTTTAGGGTCTAGAGTCTAGGGTTTAGGGTCTTCTGTACTTTTAACCGCCTCAGTCATCTGAGATGTCCGAGGTGCCCTCACTCTCGGTCGTCGACTCCGCCCGGGAGCGTGGACAGCGCAGCAGGCCAGGGAAGACCTTCATTGGAGAGGGTTTAGGGTTTAGGGCTTAGGGTTTAGGGTTTAGGGCACTGATATCATGGGTTCCCCTACTACCACCCTCTTTCCCCCCCCCTCCCCCCCCACCCAACCTAGTTCCCCCCCATAAGTAAAGCTATTTAGGGAGAGATAAGCCTAATTAAGGTGGTTTAAGGGTGGAACCCAGGGGGGGCTAGTATAGAGGGGGGTATAGTAGGGAAACCCATCAGTGTGTTCTAAGATGGTCCATAAAACTCTCTGAAAAAAAACCTGAATATGATCCTCTTAAAACCCAAGAAGGGAAGATATCCCTAAACCCTAAACCCTAAACCCTAAACCCTAAACCCTAAACCCTAAACCCTAAACCCTTACCCCTAAACCCTAAACCCTTAACCCTAAACCCTAAGTCCCAAGGGCCAGCCTAGCTTATAATTGCATGCCACGGACTTGGCAGCCCAGTAACCATATCACAATAAGGCCACTTTTGGGGTTGGGTACTTTATAAGGGAACCCCTAACCCCCAAAAAAGGGAAAACGGTGCCACTGGGCTACCAAGGGGAAGACACTTGTGGAGCCTTAGGGAAGCTTAGGGAGCCTTAGGGAGTAGTTTTAGGGAAGCTTGGGTTACATACCCCCCTCAAAACCCTAAACCCTAAACCCTAAACCCAAAACCCAAAACCCTAAACCCTAAACCCTAGCCCTAAACGGCCCTAAACCTTATACCCCATAAACATGCCAGGGGAGACCTTGAGGCCCCGTGCCAGGAAGAGCTGCAGCAAGCAGGGGCCAACACCAGGGATGGAAGCTAGCCGGCTCATGCCAAGGCCTTCTGAGACGCAAGGCTCCCAAGAAGGAGCTTGGGGTTTAGGGTTTAGGGTTTAGGGTTTAGGGTTTAGGGTTTAGGGTTTAGGGTTTAGGGTTTAGGGTTTAGGGTTTAGGGTTTAGGGTTTAGGGTTTAGGGCGACTAAGCTCGAATTCGGAGATTGGAGGAAGAAGTGGAACCAAGGAGCACGCAAAGATGAGCATGGCGGTGTAGATCGCCGTTGGCACGGCAAACCAGATGCGATGCGGCTTGGTTTCCATTGAGGGGCTGAACTCCCAATACAACATCCTTGGTAGCCCCGTAATCATTTTCAAATAAGGGTACCCTTGTTTGGGCTTGATAAGCGAACCTAGAACCAACAAAAACATACCCCCCCCCCCCCGCTCAAAAAAAAAACGAAAAAACCCTAAACCCTAAACCCTAAACCCCCTAAACCCTAAACCCTAAACCCTAAACCCTAAACCCTAAACCCTAAACCCTAAACCCTAAACCCTAAACCCTAAACCCTAAACCCTAAACCCTTAACCCTTAACCCTTAACCCTAAACCAAGCAACAGAGGGCAGGCGATGAGGAGATCGAGGACCACGAGCTTGGCCATCATCTTCAAGATGAAGCATCTGTCCTAACTTGGGATGGCATATACCTTGGGTTTAGGGTTTAGGGTTTAGGGTTTAGGGTTTAGGGTTTAGGGCTTATAATCCCTATTAGGGACTGCTAGTACAACATGGCACCCCTAAACCCTAAACCCTAAACCCTAAACCCTAAACCCTAAACCCTAAACCCTAAACCCTAAACCCTAAACCCTAAACCCTAAACCCTAAACCCTAAAACTAAACCCTAAACCCTAAACCCTAAACCCTAAACCCTAAACCCTAAACCCTAAACCCTAAACCCTAAACCCTAAACCCTAAACCCTAAACCCTAAACTAAACCCTAAACCCTAAACCCTTTTTTTGCTCCCTAAACCCTCAACCCTAAACCCTAAACTCTAAACCCTAAACCTTGAATGAGGGAGTAAACGTAAAAAAGAGAGGCTTTCAAATATGAGAGGTTCACCCCAAACCCTTTTGCAGCTGGGACTCTCTCAACACCCCAAACCCTAAACCCCCAAACC